TGTAGAGGAATAAGGGTAGGAACTCCTGTATATAGATAGGGCCTTTTTACTCTCAGTATCTACATCCATCATCCACAAATAAAATCCACCATCAATCAATAATCTTACTCTGTCAAAGTGATCTATTGAATTCTCCCATACCTATCAGTATTCTATTCACAAGGTGACGTCTCCCTATCCATTGCCCTCAGCCTTTTAATCTTCTATGCCTGGATGTGTTAAGATTATGAGTTAAATGGGAACATAGTTACTTGGCAAGTGTCATAAATTCTATTTGGAGATGGTTTGATATTTGGTAAGATGATTACTGGCAGGTATCCAATACTTTTTCCGATGCTGTTCATGAGACAGAACATAGACTACATATATACTCTAATATGACCCATGTCATTGTCTACATTCTCTCTCCTGACTTACTGCCAACAGCGTGCCTAGGTAAAACTCTGCAGCTCATGAGTCTATCTCTCATGAGAGGCATCCGCTGTTCCGGTGGCTGGCGCGCGCGGTCAGAGTACGCGTCGCTGCAACGCCTCAATTACTTACGTGTAATATCCCAGCTGAGCAATCCTGAACCTAGCTGTTCAGGAACGACAGCAATCCAGTCCATGGTTCGCGCCTGTGGTTTGTATACACACCACAGCGTCGCTCCAATCGTTCCAATACAATGTCTCAGTTCCGTAGTCCTTAGTCCATTACTCAGGAGCGGAAGCAGTTGTATAGTTCCGATAGTACGCTAGGTCTGCATGTACCTCTGAGCGCTATCCCGTAATTTTCCGGCAATATCTAACCGCTTATGGCTAGCGCACGTGGTCATTAGACTCTTTACGTTGCTACCACAATTGTTGCCCTGCAATATCTCAACCCGGCACTACCAAGTCCGAGACTCAGGAGCGGCGGCAGTTGTATCCATGGTCAGCGCACGACGTGCATATGCACCTGTCGGCGCCGAGCCGGTCATTGACGAGCAATATCACAACAAGATGGCGCCACACTTGTTCATGCTGTGGCTTAGGCTACGAGTCGCTTACACTTGTACTTGTAGCTCACACTTCCCACATTTCTAGCTGTCATTGTTACAACTGACCTGAGGATGATACGGGTATCTAAGAAGAAGTTGTATTTGGACATTAGGCCATGATATGTCGGTAGTGTTGTAATTAAGGCAGCAACATGACTGCAGTAGACAAATAGCACATATTAGAATAATATGCACTGGCACCATGAAATATGATTAACCCATATCATCACTCACTGGCATGAATAGTAATTAGCCAATAGATGCCTGACAGCATACATTGGCTTCAGGATCTCCAACAACCTTCCCATTTAGATTAGATTAGGAAGTCTGTTGGAGTTCACACTAGTGTGCAGAAAACCCCGCTTTCATGTATATAGAGGGATTTCTTGCCACACATATAGAATTATAGCAATTTCTTTACAATTAACTATCCATTAAACATCAGTAGACTTCGTCGTACATTAAACAAAATCATCATAACTCTAACTCATCCTCATACTTGGTATGTAATTCTTACAATTTCCGGAACCATTTCAATAGGTAGGAGAAAAGACAAAGAGATAGGAAGTACTGGGAGCTACAAGCTTGGGCTAAGCTCGACCGCGGTTCCACCTCAGTCCGGCCTACATCCCTGTTATACATAGTCACGTGATTCCGGATTCTTCCACTAGTCTACCTCCAAGTGCCCTAGCAAGTCCAACCATAACAGTAATCCGAACATGACACTCTTTTAGTCAACTTCTACTTTCGTTCCATGAATAATGCGCCCAATTCATTGCGCAATATTTCCAACAGCAACATAGAAAGAATGGTAAAATTATGAAGTGAAGTGAAGATGTGAAGAGGAATCCTTACATCAAAGATGGAACCATTGATCTACAACAGAAATGGCAAGGAAATAAAATCAAGTTAGTTAATGCTAAGTATTTATATGTTAAACAGCAAGCTCAAGGTGCTTACATTACTTCAACATGTTAGCGGGAAGCCTATTATGATCTCTCAGTGGCTGCACAGCACCAGGAACCTTCCAATGAACATATATGCAAACTTGATGAGAGAATAAGCTGACAGAAAGCTAATTTGAATCGAGGGCTGAGGAATGAATGAATGAATGAATATTTATTTATGACAGGCACAAGCCCTGCACTCAAAGAGCATGACACGGAGAAGACTAGCTTCTCCGACGACTATATACAACAATAACTCAGTTTGAAATTTGGATTACTCATGTAGTGGGTGCATTTGCTGATGCTACTCGAGACATTGGTGCTAGGGACTTCCACTCTTCCCTCAAGCGTTAATATCCACCAAAGGGAAAGCAGTAAAAACCTTTGGCTACCCTAACATGCCTTCACCATCTTTTATGTAGCCGCCGCGCGAGATATGGCCTCACAGTCCTCCCTTTCTCGAGTGAGGTAGGTGTCCAGGCTACCTAGACTTTAATTCGGGGAGATGACAACCAGGAGGTGGACCAAAACATCTGCCAACGTTGCCTTTTTTTAGAATGTCGGTAGCACTATCCTAAATTGTTGCCTCTGCGCCCATAGACACCCTTAAGTCGAAAATACTCGAAAAATGTGCGTCCCAGCATGCCCATTTGTGACCTCTTCACTTGTTTGTCCCACGTCCCAGCTGCCTGTCCTTCGTCAAGATGTGAAGCCCCATGAGAGCAACGGTCCCCTATAGACCAGGACCCGAGCTTTGTAGATTATGACTTGAATTCCTCCTTGTGGGTATACATAGCGTCGTAAATGTGTAGTGGGAAATGGTCGGTTTTTGATGAGGTAAATGCCCAATTGCAATCAGAGTAACGCGATTATCGATATTTGAGGCGAGGTGGTGTAGTATGATTGAGGTGGAGGACTTGCGTGAGAATGATAGGTCCAACATTGGTTGAGAAGTCCTCAACTTTTGATGTTCTTGTGGGAGCTTTCGACTTCGATTCAAATGCAATTCTTCCTGGCTATCCCAGATATGCAGAGCATACTAAGCAATTACACTGGCATCATTGGAAGGTGAATAATTCGTCTTTGCTGGCAAGGGCTGAGGAATATTGTTGTAGAATTTGATTAGGCAAAGCTTTTTGTATTTGTGAATGGGTCCTGTGCAAATAACCAAGACCTCAGCTCTCAGATTGGATTTGTAATTGTTATTGCCAATGAGACATAAGAAGAGGAACACATATTCACTCTGCAAGGGAATGTAGTCCATTATAGCTCGACCAAAAGCAAGAGACTGACCCAAAGCGTCTTAGCGTCTGAGATAAATGCTATGGTTGCGGGTGTAGATATAGCATATGCTATCAGTACCACCCTACAGTGCATCTAGGTGTTACAGACTGCGCCTTACACCCATGTACTTCAATCGTTCACCTTGTTCAGTGTCGAAAAGCACTGGCAACATGGCGGCTGAAAAGCGGAAGGCTAAGGGCGCCAGCTATAGGAACAATGCTCGGATCAAGCGGGTGGCAACTGTTCAGGGACTATGTCCAGGAGAGCGGAATATACGCGGAGGCTAGCCGGGGGATGGCAGGGATACCTGTGACTCGGAGGTGATGAACGAAAGCCCAGGTGATCTGGCATGGAAGTAGGGATAGGAATCGAGGCTCGGGCGCGTGGTGGCCGAGGCGGAACAATGGAAGGGAGATTGTCAAAATTTTTTCTTTTGTAATGCAGGACTTTGCGTGGAAGTTTTCTTTTGTTTTGTTTTCAACTCTGGGCTGCTGTACTCGTCATGCTTCAACACATAGATGCGTTTCGGCATGGTTCCGGTCATTGAGGTGGGACGAGGCACTTGTACTTTACGGTAGTTAACCTGATCCGGCCCGACCCCACTCGTGCTCAAGCTCCAGTAGGAGTGCAACAGTAGTTACTTCACCTAGCACGTTAATGAACAAACAAACAAACAAACAAACAACACCCATGTACTTGTGCCTATCTATGTACTAACCGTCGATGTTCTTTTATGTGATTATAAGTGATTGCCGATCCGACAAATACAAATTGTTGATAGATCATCTCAAGAATGCGGATGATCACCGATCCGATGGATATTAACCTCCCTGGGGTCAGAGCTACATGTATATATGTCCTACAGCCTAGATAGATACCATTTCCTAGATAATTAGAAAATAGACTGTATGTTATGAATTTGTTAGTTTAATCTGGATGTGGTGGTGCATGGGTTATCTTCTTAATTCGGCTAGGTCTGAGGCAACGGGATTTAGATTTGCTCAGGCTGGAAATTTGAATTTGTTCTTTAGTTCTAACAATTTTGTTTCTTTTATGTTTATTGTATAATTTGCTTATTGGGACCTCGATGTTTTGATAACATGATAATTTGAACATATGAATTCGTAACCTTTGATAATTCGAGCCTCAATTACTTTCATTCGTACCTTCGCACATATGACATTCGCACCTTGACCTTCGCACCTTCGACCTTCGTAACTTTGTAACCTCGAACCTTCGATAATTTGTCTTCGTCGAAATCGACTCGACCTCTGCAGCTTAACAGCTTCGAAAATCTGCCAATAAGTATATTCATAACACTGTATTACGGCCAGCTTACTTTGTTCTTATTGTTTTGGTGATAGCCCATCACATATTTTCTAATTCAATTTCCAATTTCCGGCTTGCTAATAAAGAAGGATATAACAGATTCACTGTCATGTATGTTCCGGGTCCCTTTCTCAGACAGCAATTCAACCGACTGTAATAAATCTCGAGTCACAGATTCAGAAATCGACTCAATAGACAAAGAGAAATTTGCCGCTGCCATTTCAGAAAAAAGCTCGAGCGATTACGAAAGTTGTAACTCGCAACAATTTCAAACAACGTCAGATCACGTCTTTTAGCCCGTGGAGCAACAGGATGAGCTACAAGGACGTCCAGAGCAACCTGGCCAACAAATACGACAACCTGGGCTTGCAAACATTCCCAATATCATACCATCCCAATATCAAGCCCTCCGATAGATATTAATGGCTGAGATCGCAAGTCAACAATCTCAGCAACCTCCAACACTTCAACAACCCCAACAACCCCAGCCTGCCCATTCGACTCAGCCATCTCAATCAATTCAACCTTCGCAATCCCCCTTCTTAACTTCAACCAAGCAACCGAGCCAATGGCCAGTATGGGATGGATCGACTACATCCCTCAATGCCCACCTATTCCTTCTGAGAATTAAGATTGAAGAGGATCGAGCTGTACTCGGCTCTGATAGAGCTATTTGTTTTGATATTTTTCGCTCTGTCCCGTCAGATAAGCAACCAAGAATCTTAAACTGGCTTGAAACTGGTGGTTTTGATAGTAATTGTAATTGGAATTATTTTCTAGATCACCTGAAGGAAAAATTTGAGAACAAGTTAGCCCGCCAAACAGCAGCTAATCAACTCGGTCGAATGCAAATGGGTGCCACTCAGTATTTTGTGGACTACCTTAAGGAATATGAGTTAAAGATTTCACAATGTGGAAAAACATGTTGGACAGATGAATATAAAATAATGCATCTAGAAATTGCCATCAAAGCCCCGCTTTGTCAGCTGCTGATGAACAAAAACTTGCAGGAAGACGATTACGCTAAATGGATTTCCAAAGTTAAAAGAATCTCTGGTCGTCTTGAAAATTCACTGTCTTATCAGCCCCGTGGCTCTTCGGGAAGCAAGACGTGGTATGTGGCCCATAATGGATCGAACCCGCAAGTACTATCTCAAACGCCAACATCGAACCAACAGCTGGTCATAGATGCAGATGGGGATACAAAAATAGGTGGTGTCAATGCCTTAAAAATTCTTCAAACAGCAATTATGGCCCTCAATGCAGGACATGATAATACTGCCGACAACAGACCCAGAGCTAAGTGGAGGTTAAAAGATGAATTTCAAAGGCTTTCAAACGAAGGTAAGTGCATAAGGTACCGAAAAACGGGACATAAATCTCGAAATTGCCCTACTTACCGACCAGCTATTTGGCCAAAAGAAATTGCTAGTCTCAACAGCTCACAGCTCACAGATAAAAGAATCTGATAAGAATTCAAAGGATATTGAAATGGAGTTGGAGGAATCAGAAAATGATCTGTTGGGGGAAGACTAACCTCTGAACAACGTCGCGTTCAGAGGGAGGGAGAAATTTGCATTAATAAGATTGAAACAGCTTTAGACAATATGAATAGCTCACCATTTTTAATTGATTGCCAGTTAAATTCTAGCTTTTACGTACATGCCTTAATTGATACAGGCTGTCTATGTTTTGCTGCATTCTCAAAAGATCCTGTGAAAGCCAATAATCTCCTGCGCATAAAAATTCCAAAAATAATTCTCCAATTAGCTGAGAAATATTAAAAAGAAAGAACAATTAACGAAATAACTTTTGTTGACTTAGATATCAATGGAAGAAAAGAAAGAGTCTATGGATATATAATCCAAGATCTATCTTACCAGCTTATACTTGGGAAACCATGGACGGAGCAAAATGATGTTGTCTATCTTGCAAAAAGGAGAGAAATTCGTTTCAGAACAAGGGCAGATAGTTTAATTGTTGGAGAAAAGGGCTGGTACCATAGCAATGACTCTTCTGGTTTCAAAACAAATATACATTTTGTTGCCACTGCTGTTAGGGTTGTAAGCTCAACCTTTATCTTATTGATCAAACTAGCCAAGAGAAAACCTGGATCACGGATTTTCGCTATATCAATGGAGGATATAAAGAAAGCTCTAGAAACTAAAGCGACTGACACACCAAGTCTGATCAAAGTTCAACAACCGAACAAAATTAAACACTGGTTACAACTTTTTATCGAAGATCAGGAAAGTACTCTCCCGCCACACCGAGCATCAGATATGAAAATAAATTTGGAAAAAGATGATAGAGGTAGAGAAAAATCAATACCATGGGGGCCTCTCTATGGTATGTCAAGAGACGAGTTGTTGGTCCTGAGAAAAACCTTGACAGACCACTTAGATAAAGGATGGATAAGGGCAAGTAGCTCACCAGGTGGTGCACCTGTGCTGTTTGTGAGAAAACCTGGAGGTGGCCTCAGATTCTGTGTGGACTGTTGAGCCCTAAATGCAATTACAGAAAAGGGTCGATATCCCCTGCCATTGATCAGGGAAACACTAAGAGCTATTTCTAAATCCACGTGGATTACCAAAGTTGATGTTCGAGCTGCGTTCCATAAGCTAAGGGTCAGAGAAGGAGACGAGGAAAAGACTGTATTTTGTACAAGATTTGGTTCTTTCGAGTGGCTTGTTACACCTTTCGGTCTTCAGGGAGCTCCAGCAGCCTTTCAAAGATATGTTAATGAATCATTAGGTGACTATCTAGACAACTTTAGTACAGCATACTTAGATGATATTCTTATTATCACAGATGGTGACATCAATGATCACTGGCAGAAAGTGGTAAAGGTATTTCATCGCCTCAGCAAAGCAGGCTTAAATTTAGATCTAAAGAAATGCAAGTTTGCTATAAAAAGTACTAAATATTTGGGATTTATTATTAGTCTTGGTGAAGGCATCAAGGTCGATCCTCAAAAAGTTGAAGCAGTGAAATCCTGGAATATCCCGACCTCTGTAAAAGGAGTACGAAGCTTCCTTGGCTTTGCAAACTTTTACAGACAGTCTATCCCAAATTTTAGTGAAATTTCACAACCTTTGATTAACTTAACAAAGAAGGACCAGGCTTTTCTTTGGCTAAAAGAGCACGGAGATTCGTTCGAACATCTCAAAGAACTATTCATCAAAGCTCCTGTGTTGGCACTTTATGATCCCGATAATAGAACGGTAATCGAAGCTGATTGTTCTGGATATGTGATGGGGGCCCGTCTATCTCAGTTTGACAGAACCCAAGTCCTACGACCAATAGCCTATTTCTCGAGAAAACTTACCCCAGCAGAATGTAACTATGAAATTCATGATAAAGAATTACTTGCTGTGGTTTCGGCTTTGGAAGAATGGAGAGGGGAACTCATGGGATTAAAAGAATCATTTCTGGTATTATCAGACCATAAAAACCTAGAATATTTCACGACAACCAAAAAGTTGTCTGAGTAACAGGTCAGATGGGGTAATACTCTCTCACAATTTCATTTCCAGTTAAGGTTTAGAGCTGTTAAAAACTCAGCACAACCAGATTTGCTATCGAGAAGAGAACAAGATATGCCAGGCAATGCCGAGGACGAACGATTGACAAACCGCAAAATGCAGTTGATAAAAGATTCTTGGTTGGAATTGCCGTGCCCCGATGAAGAATCCATTAAAACTCAAATAACTTCTTTTCAGCTATCCCAAGTTCATATCTTGACAAAATTTCACGAATCATACCGCCTGGGTGCCACATATTTCATGAGCCAGAACTTCAGTTATTGTGGGATAGGGGCTGCACAGAAGACGTTAACTTTGAAGCAATGTACAAATCACTTTAAAAACGAAGAACGAAACTTCCCATCAAGTCTTAACCTTAAAGTTGCAATTTCAGAATGCAATTTTGATGAAAGAGGTGCTCTTCAATTTCAGAATAGATTATGGGTGCTTAATTGGGAGCCTCTACAAACGGCCTTGATCCCAAAAACCCATGATTCCTATGTTACTGGACACCCTGGTAGAGATAGTACTTATGCAATTCTGTCACGAAGTTTCTTCTGGCCAGGTGCTTCCTCAATGGTGAGAATATTTTGTAAAAATTGAGACATTTGTGGCCGATCCTACGTTTGGAGAGAAAGAAAAGGTCTCCTCTTGCCGCTGCCAATACCTGATTGTTTCCACTCCGAGTTGTCAATTGACTTTATGACAGATCTTCCAGCAAACTCAAAAAGTGAACCAAGATTCCTTATGGTCATAACTGATAGGCTACTTAAAAGTTGTACGCTAGAAGCTATGGTTTCAATGTCTGCCAAAAGCTGCGCCGAAAAATTTATTCAATGTCATCACCGTTATTATGGCTTCCCATCAGCTATAACGTCTGACCGAGGCACGAACTGGGTAGGGGATTTTTGGTCACATCTCTCTGAATTGGTCAAAATCGAGCGACGCCTTTCAACTGCTTTTCATCCCCAGACAGACAGAAGCACAGAAAGGATGAACCAGGAATTCCTCGCATATTTACCAGCATTTATTTCTTAGGCACAATTTGAATGGCTGTCAATGCTCCCCATGGCAATGTTAGCCTTAAATAATCGAGATACAGTAATTGGTCTCAGTCCATTTTTTCTCACACACAGCTATCATGCTGACCCATTAGATCAAGTACCAGCCAAGAAACCAAAAGCATCAGACCCAGCAAAAAGGGCAAACGAATTCGTTAAAAGACTAAGTGAAGGACAAGAATATGCGCAAGCTGCAATGGCCTCAATTCAACAAAGAATGGAATCTTCAGCAAATAAAAATAAAATCACCTCAGGAAAAATACTGCAAGGGTGATCATGTTTGGTTAAACTTAAAAAATATTTGCACACCCCAACTATCAAAAAAACTTTCATGGGTCAATGCAAAATATAGAGTCATAAAAGTTATAATTGAAATTAGTTCCGGAGATTGGAAGAATTACACACTAGCCTCGAGTTTGATTAAGAGATACGATAAATGTGTTTACTATACGAAGAAGTTTACTGATGTTTAATGGATAGTTAATTGTGATTAAATTGCTATAATTCTATATGTGTGGCAAGAAGTCCCTCTATATACATGAAAGCGGGGTTTTCTGCACACTAGTGTGAACTCCAACATACTTCCTAATCTAACCTAAACGGGAAGGTTGTTGGAGATCCTGAAGCCAATGTATGCTGTCAGGCATCTATTGGCTAATTACTATTCATGCCAGTGAGTGATGATATGGGTTAATCATATCTCATGGCGCCAGTGCATATTATTCTAATATGTACTATTTGTCTACTGCAGTCATGTTGCTGCCTTAATTACAACAGTTATTTCACCGCAACTGGTACAAATAGACGTTCCTTCGGGTATATGGCCCAAATTCCACGTCGACTTACTGAAGAGGGACCCTAAAAATCCTTTGCCATCACAAAAGCTAAGAGATATGCAGCCTCCACCACTATTGAACTCACTAGGAGAAGAGGAGCAGGTTGTAGACAGGATTCTGCGATCAGAAAAGAAGCGTCGGGGCAGACATTTTATGAGACAAGTTCTTGTCAAGTGGAAACAATTTGAAGAACCAAATTGGGAGCCACAAAATAATCTTGAGGAAACTGAAGCTTTAGATATATTTGAGTCTAAATACGGAAAAGGTGATAACGTTGGAGAGGATTTCGGAGCTCGAGCAGGGTCTATATGGAAGAGACAAAAAATCTAAAAAAAAAAAAGAGGGAGGAGAGGTAATGTTACAGGCTGTGCCTTACACCCATGTACTTGTGCCTATCTATGTACTAACCGTCAATGTTCTTTTATGTGATTATAAGTGATTGCCGATCCAACAAATACAAATTGTTGATAGATCACCTCAAGAATGCAGATGATCACTGATCCGATGGATATTAACCTCCCTGGGGTCAGAGCTACATGTATATATGTCCTACAGCCTAGATAGATACCATTTCCTAGATAATTAGAAAATAGACTGTGTTACAGCCAGCTTGCTTTGTTCTTATTGTTTTGGTGATAGCCCATAACACTAGGTTCCAAAATTTTAAGCTTGAAACTGGGATATTTAAGGGATAAGCCCTGTAGGCGCAGTTGTGCTAGCTCGCAATAGGTTAGACTGTCTCTCCTCATTACCCCGCTCGCCATGAAGTATGGTCCAATTGTCTTATTCTAACAATTGCTTAGAGAAACACAATTTCAACAACACTTTTGACTGCCTAACCTACACAGTCCTTTAAATTTAACACCACTATCAATTCATCCTTTATTCTAGCAAACAATGTCTCCAAAAGTCTGCTCCAGGAACTAAAGTTCGCAAACAGCTAACTCGTGATCAATGTATTGAAATAAGAGAATTAAGAAGACTTGGCTTGACATTACAACATTTATTAGACAAACTTGGCTTCACAAGAATGCAAGTGCGACTTTCG